CATTTTGTTTCAATTTCATTGGTTTCCCCTCTAAATTTAATTATTTCCTGTCTTCTACTGTTTTGGGGGTTGATTTGTTCTTCTTTTTCTAGTACTTTTTGTTTTTTATTTTATCCCTGATTTCTTCTGCTATCTATTCATCATTCAGTAGCATATTATTTAATTTCATTCAATTGTGATCTGATGGAATGCAGGGTATTTTTTTTTTTTTTTTGCATTTGCTAAGAGTTGTTTTATGGCATAAGATATGATCTATTTTAGAGAAGGATCTGTGTGCTTCTGAGAAGAAAATATATTCACTCATTAATGGATGAAATATTCTATGTATGTCTGTTAAGTCTAAATTATTGATTGTACAATTTATTCTATAGTTTCTTTGTTTAGTTTTTGTTTAGAGGATCTATTCTGTAGTGAGAGAGGTATTTTAAAGTCACCCAGTATTAGTGTGTTGTGGTCTATTTGATTCTTGAAATTGAGAAGAGTTTGTTTGATGTATATATGTTCCATTGTTGGGATATAAATATTTAGGATTGTTATATCTTGTTAATGTATAAATCCCTTAAGCAGTATGAAATGTCCTTCTTTGTCCCTCTTGATTAACTTTGGCTTGAAATCCACTTTATCTGGTATGAGGATATTCTCAGCAGTTGTAGGTGGGGTCTTCTGGAGTGTGATGCTCCACCCTCTGTATTGCTGGAATGAGAAAAGTAATCCCATAGGTGGAATTCCTAGGATTTGGGCTTAGGCGGGCTCTAGGCTCTTGGCTGAATGCCAATTGGTCTGGAGATTTTAAATTAGCACACCTTCAGTGCCCAGTACTTGCTGATTCATGCTGGCAGACTGTGTCCCAGGGATTTCCCCTGGGTTTCACTCACATGGTGAAGGAGCCAATTCGTAGTCCCCTACCTCACCTGCAGACCTCACATTTTGTGGTCTTAGGTTCAGTTCTCCAATCTCTCCCACCCACACCCTTCAGAGTTCCCAGCCAGATGCATCTCTCCCAGCTGGTCCTGCAAGCAGTCATATTGGAGGGGGAGAGGAAAAGCCAGATGATGGGTTTCTGCCACCAGTTGTCCCCTGTATATGTAGTACCAGATTCACGGGACCCCAATAGACCTCCAGGAGCCGAATCTGATGCAATCACACAAGAGTCTTTATGGCAAGCTCAAGCCTGGACTCACAACCATTTCCAATGCAGTGGTCCCAGGGAGTGAGTCCCGATCCTTTATCCAGTGAGATTTTATAGGTTTTGGGGGATACTCTATGCATCACAACATTACACAGCAAATCATTCCATACTGCGGGAAAGTCAAACAACAACTCTTAACATTGATGAGCACATTCATTGTTGATGTGTAACAAGTTGGGTAGGGGTGATTGGTTAGTACAAGAGGGGGAACTGATTCCTTTGAACTGATTGGTTTAGACCACGAGGGGTGTACCTGCCAAACTACATGGTTTCCCAACATGTTATCAACCACCATAAACTACTGGGGGGTCATCTGACATCCATGGTATTTTCCCTGACTCATGATGATTGGTGGTTGCTAGGGGATTGCTATGGGTCCTCACCTAGCCTGACTGAGTCAGGGACACCTGGGGCTGCAGATCTCTCCTGTTATTTGTAGACAAACAACTCATCAGGGTGGGTATGTGCCTAGGAGTGCTCTGTGGGTTTTTCCAAGGACAAGGGTCACGCCCACTTCCTTGGACAGGCTTTGCTCTGAGGTAGAGGCTGGTTTCTCAAAAATGAAGTCACATTAGTTTCTCATACAAACCTCTCTCCATGTTTGATTTTCTCTGGGTCACTTAAGCACACTCTATGTCATGCAGTGTGTGTTTCCTGGGCCTGTATTTTGGGCCAAACTCAAGTTTGTCAGCAATTGATCCCCTCAGCTGCTGGCACTGACACAGTGGTTGCAAATTTTTTTTTCTTCTGTGCCCTCCACACACCAACTAGAGAGATGATGGCTTCTTTCTCTGCACATGGATGTCATGCAGCGTGTCTTTCAGGTTTGTTTGGCAAAGTTCTTGGTTTCTAAATACTCTGTACCCAGACATGCCTCCAGCCTCCCCAGAATGCAATTTCCTTTAATTCCCTTATCCCTCTACTATTATCACAAAGGGACTGCTCTGGCTGATGCTTCAGGCCCAGCCTAGGCCACAGATGTGCCACTGGGGATTTTTTTCTTATTTTATTATATTCAACTTCCTGTGTCCCCTATCTGCTTTGAATGCCTGGTTTTAAATTCCAGTAAAGTCCCCTTCAGCTTTTTTTTTTTTTAAGGACACTTACAGAGTCCACACAAAGTCCAAAGAGCATGCCACACACCAGAATCTCATGCAAGAGATTTATTGTCAGTAGCACAAGGCAAACCAACAAGACTGTCCCCTCTGAGGAGAACAGCAACATGTCGGCACTCACAGAGCAGCTTCATAGCCCTCAAGAGGAATTCCTAAGCTGCTTAGGAGTTGCATCATAAACCCGGGTGGGGCTGATCGGTTAGCAGGCACAGGTCTAGGGGAAGTTAAGCAGCACTGCCTCAGAATCCAAACTTTGAAGCCTCTAGATAAAATGGCTCCTGACCTACAATGGCGAATGTGATGCCAATGTTGATCTGATGCTAATAGTTTTGTTCACCCACCTCTCAGAGAAGCTTTCTGGTTGCTTTCTTGGTTTCACACCACAGAGCAGCCAGTAACATGACCTCCTCTATTCTGCCATCTTCCTATCCATCTCTTATTTCTTACTTTTTATCCTTCCTTTCAGTCAATCCAGTTGTGAGAGGCAGAAAGATATCAAAGGCAGGCAGTAGTTAAATCTACACTGTGGTTTTATTCCTTACCCTGGTTCCCAAGTGTGGGGTGGGACTTTGTCAAGAATAGGTGAAAGGGAGCTGTGGTCCTCATGGAGGACACACACATCTCAGCATCTTCACTTATTCTTCACTATCTCTGCCTCTATCATTCTAGAGAAACTTATCTAGTCTGTGAGGCCTGGGGACCTGGCAATGTCAAATCAGGGTCCAAGCCAGAAATTACACTGCACTAATCCCTAACAAAGCAATTCTCTGAACAGTGAAAGAAAGATAGTATATACACCAATGACATTGGGCAAGAGGACATTAAAAAATCAAGTCTTAGTCACGGAGCAAAGAGAAAGAAGCACATTCTGAAAAATATAAGAAGATATTTCAAATTTCATCAGGTACAAAACTTGCAGACAAAATGGAAAGTGCTAGATATAGAAACCTATAGGTAGAAAAGCCCAAATCTTAAATGGATAATAGGTTTTTTTTAAATCTAATTATCATCTCCTTATAATAGCTTTTTAATGCCCAGTATTCTAGGAAGAGATGATTAACTAGTTCAATGAGAAAGATGAAAATCAACTATTTCAGACTGGATTCCTAGTCCACACGAAAACATTTGCTGTTTCTAAGCACCAGAAATCAGGTTTACAGTCCAGACTATACCTGGATTTTTTTGGTGTGGCCCAAGATTTACCTCTGTAGAAATTCCTGTTGAGCAGCAGGTTGATTAGACCTACTGAATCAGAATCTCTAGGATGAAAACCAAATACATGGAATTTTAATAACATCCTCAAGGGATTTTCATAGACCCTCTAATTTTAAAACCACTGCTTTAGAATTTAAGGAAACTTAGTGTGTGAGAATATCAACACTGGGTTTATAGAAGACAGTCTAGTTTATAGACTAATATAAACTATCATCTTTACATGTGCTTTATGTGTACTTTAGGGTTGGTTACAAGCAGATGATACCCAAACTATAATTTCAACTTTATTATTCAACAGTACTATTTTAGTCAGTTTTTTCACTACTGTGACTAAAAGACCCAACCAGAATAATTGTAAAGGGGGAAAAGTTTATTTGAGGGTTCATGGTTTCAGAGGTCATAGTCCATAGAAGGCCAGCTCCATTCCTCTGGGCTCAAGGTGAGGCAGAACATCACCAAAGAAGAGAGTGTGAAAGAGAAGCAGCTTACACCAAGATCAGGAAGCAAAGAAGAGAGTTTCTACTTGCCAGATACAAATATATACCACAAAGCTATGCCCCTAATTCCCACCTTTTCCAAGCACACCCTACCACTTCAGTTACCACTCAGTTAATCCCTATCAGGGGATTAATTCACTGGTTGGGTCGAGACTCTTACAACCCAATCATTTCTCCTCTGAATCTTCTTGCATTGTCTCATATGTGAGCTTTTGAGGGACATCTCACATCCAAACCATAACAAGTACATAATCTAATATTCTCTCTTCATTGCAACATCAAACAGTGCTCTTCAATTCAGTCAATTACTACCACTCCCCATCCCTGAAATAATTTATATCCTATAGTAAGTAACAAATTATGACCAAAGTGGTAGAAATGAACATTTGATGCTTGTCTGGAGTTTCTATCTGGTGAATTTATCTTCCTCTTTTGGCCTCTGATATTCCTGCTATTCTATGATACTGTGACAGAATGCTGTTCTCCTTTTTTTCCTCAATTCATGATCACCTAGGCAGTGACTACATCTCCCAACCTCCCTTGCAGCTACATATATGGCCACATGACCAATTTTGAGCCAATTGGATGTGATTGGAAAGATGTATAATGTCCAAGCCATCTGTAATTTTAATTTGGGCTGGTTACTGCAGCCTTTGGCTTTTCTCACCTCTCTGTAAACTGAATCAAGGAAACAAGAAAGACCAGCTTCAAATAATGCAGAAAAGGACAATACCCAAGGAAATGGAAGAACAAGATAGAAGGACCTTAGCTCTTAATTAATCCTATTAAAAAGAGCAGCTCCAACAGCCTAGACAGACTGAACTGTTACATGAGAAATAGTATCCATAGTACTTAAGCCATTATATTTTTGCCTTCTCTTTTATAGCATCTTAGCCTTTACCCTAACAAATACCAGTGACCACCGTTAGCCTATTAATGCACAAAACCACCCTTTAAATTAGACTGAAGTATTGAAATGTCATGTTTATCTTCCCCAACAAATACTTTATTTATATAGACCCATTAGGCAAATATTGGACAGGTAATTATACCTTAATCACAAAAGGAGACTGTAAAAACAATTAAAACATAAGGAAATGCAGAAGGTCACAATACATGCAGGTAAAATCCTATATTTTTGAAACCAGTTTGATTCATCCAATTCATAACTTTGTCTCAGTGGTCAGTCTTTTTATCACATTGGCATACACTCCTTTCAAGCATCTCAATAAATTATATAATTTTTAATGTTAAAAAGAATATTTACTTTCTTGTACAAAATATAAATGGATTTAAGGTGTTTAAGATAGAATTTTCAGTCACTGAAAGTGATAACTCATTGGGTAGACTTTTGCATCTGCTAATAAAACAAAAAGTACTAACACAAATGTTCACAATATATTAATAACATATATATGCATATACATATACACACATACAAATGATTCTCAGTTTTTGCATTTTTTAATTATAACAATTAGACTTGTGTATTATACAATGAGACCCTTAAACTCATTTCATGTTCTGAATTGAAACTTTCCTATGATATCTGGAAAACCAGTACTTTATTCTGTCTGTACTGGCAGCTCCTAACACTTGTTGGACTTTGCCCCATCAACCCTAATATAACTCAAAAATGCAATTGGTGTTGCCTGTAAATATATATCAATAGAAAAAATACAAAAAAAATTTATTAGTGAGTAGTGTTATCAGCAACTACATTATTAGTTATGTACTTATGAGATTATAGATTGACACCTAAAGGTCAGTTTTCCGATGACGGGTAAGAACCATATGTTGAATTGGACAACCTACCAGGCACGGTCCTTAAGCCACATTGCTTGTTGTTTAATTAATCAGAAGGGGGGAGATGCTGGGAGCCATTAGCCAAGTAGGTATGACAATTTCCTTGCCAGCGTACCCCATGTTGCTTAGTGGAAGGACTTGTGGAAATAGGACATTTTGCAGTGACATTGCATGTAGGTGACCTTGCTCAAGGACCAGGGCGGATCCGAGATTAGGGTGTTCCCGGTTTAGGATAATCGGGTTTAGGGTGTTCCAGGTTTAAGATTATTCCTGCTGGGAATAGGGCGTATCCTGCTGCCTGAGTTCCCCTTGAGTTCTCACGGGATTCAGACAGTATTTTTTGGGAGACAGAAGCCCAGTGGAGGTGGATTTGGGCAGAGAACGTGGATTTCCCCAGAACGTGATTGTAGACGGCTGGTGTGAGTTCGGGAATAAAGAGTTGCTGTTTGAATCTACAAGCTGTGTGGTGGCTCGTGATTTTGTGCCCAGCCAGACTGCGGCAATAGATTATTTTTATGTTCTTTTATTCTTTGTCTATTTCTGGATATTTGAAATTATCTACAATGAGATTGTAGTTTTATAATAAGGAGAAAATTCAAAACTTTGCAACATCAAACAGTGCTCTTCAATTCAGTCGATTACTGAATTGAAATAAAGATTTTTCATTCTGTGTCCACATCTTTTTCAGTTCCTAGTCTAATGTGTTCCACGTAGTAGATGCCTCAGAAATACATGTGAGAGAAGGAAGAAAGAAAAGAAGAATGTGGTGAAAGGGAAGAATCTACTGGCTATCTTCAGATTGCTTCTTCAGATCTACTGTCTATCCTACTTGAGCTTCAAAAGACTACTGATATGAACTGCCTGGGTAAGTTCTCTTGGCCTTGGCTTCTGGTTGGGTTTGGCCAAGGAGATGCACTATCAGAAAATCAGTGGTGATTACTCCTGGTACACCCACTGTGCTGTGGGTCACTGCCGCCTGCTATATACCTCAATCCACCAAAACCAGGACCTTTCCACACAGGTCTTCTGATTGGAAAAAGCACTACCTCCTCCCTGCTTTGAGACCTTGGGAAGGCAAAGGTGCCTCTCCTTTGTGCACTTGCTTTCTCTCTTTTTAACATTTTATTCAATCCTTTGTAGTTCATTTATTAAGTCATTTCAAATTGTCCAATTTGAATATACTACATATGTATTGCTAAGATAGGCTGGTACCAAATGTATTTCATTTCTTATAAGAGCCCAGCAGGTTCTAATCTTGAAGAAGGATTCAGAAAAAGGGTTTTAAAAATCACAACTATTGCTGGTTTCAAAAGTCAAAACAAAAAAATTACTTTAAGTGGAGGAACTTCATATTTATTTAGAAGATTTTGTAATTATATACCAGAACTAGTTATGCTTTTTTTGCCTTCCAAAAGACAAAAATAAAAATTCAAAATTCAAATGAATTGTCTTCTCTTTCTTCATCCTTACAATAACCATCAGACAGACTAAACACCCTATAGATACTTAATATTGATTCTTCAATACATATGAAAACAAACAAAGGTTACCTATTATGAGAATATTCTTGTGGATTTTTCCTTTTCAAAGATTAGTTCTCGTCCATTTGTCAATATGACTTTTTTTTTTTTTTTTGGTGTCCTTGAAGGTAATATCTTTCAACCTAAAAAGACTACATAGAGTTATTTTAGTATTTAAAATTAATATTAATTTTATTAAAGTTATAATTTAAAAACTGAAGCTTTTAAATTCAATGTAGAAATCTTACTATTATATTTATAAATCTGGATGAATTTTAATATTTACTTTTAAAGTGGTCTTTTATTAATATTTGGTGTCTTTTAAAACTTATTTAAGGTTCACATAAATATTTTAAATTTAATCTTTTTTCTTTTTTTCTTTCTTTGTTTTGGTACTGGCGATTGAACCTAGGTGCGCTTTACCACTGAGCCACATCCCTAGCCCTTTTTATCTTTTATTTTGACACAGAGTCTTACTAAATTGCTGAGGCTATCCTTGAACTTGTGATCCTCCTGCCTTAGCCTCTTGAGTCACTGGGGTTACAGGCATGGCCACCACACCTGGAAATTTTCATATATTCTTTTATTTAATACTGTTAAGTAATATAACTTACTGAAATGTTCAGAATAATATGAATCTAACAAAAAATAAAAATTATATGAATCTTAAGTTCTCTTAAGCATTTCAATACTTTTTATAATTTTTAAGCTTATCTTAATTTTTCCAATTTAACTTTAACTCTAAAATTAAAAACTCGGGGCTGGAGATGTAGCTCAAGAGGTAGCGCGCTTGCCTGGCATGCATGCGGCCCAGGTTCGATCCTCAGCACCACATACAAAGATGTTGTGTCCGCCAAGAACTAAAAAATAAATAAAAATAATAACTAAAAAAAAATTAAATTAAAAACTCAAAGGCACATTTTTAATTGGAGACTAGTAATATGTCAGATTCTCCAATAGGCCAAATATTCTTAACTGTTACAAATATTTAAAATATGAAATATTCATAACTCACTCATACAGTTAATAAGATAATCAATTTTATTGGTTGTTAGTTCATTATTTCTATCTATAAATGTCAAATAAAAAGTTTTATGAACCTAGCAAATTGAGGCCATTATCAGCAAGATGATTTAACTATCCAATTAAGAAGGGTTATCACCTCAGTGGCTGATATTGCATCAGAAACTTCTGACCAAGGCACTTCTGGAGCAGTTAACATCTAGGGCAATTTTTCTTGCCACATTGAGGCAACTGAACCCTACTTTGTGATCATAGCACAATTAGTCTCTAATCCCATTCTCCTTCTAGTGAGTCTGTCTCACAGACCCCATTGGATTCAAGTTATACATTACTTAATGCTCAAGGTTGTATTCAACTTATTTATTTACTGTTTGATACTATTCTTAACTATTTTCATATTTTTTCTCTTGCTTAGGGACACCACTCTTACAGATATTTTAATGACAACCAATTAGACTTTGCCTATCTTGATTATGTCACACTAATGACAATAGTCTTAAACTTTGACTGAATTTCTTCTTCCGGTTACTATATGATAGGAATGACCTAGATAAAGAACACATCCTGTAGGTCTCTGGAGTACACTATTTAACGCTTCCCTACCCGTTTGGGCCCTGCTCTTGGCTGATATGCTCTGGTCTGTGAAGCATGGGTCTGGGATGATTTAGGTTGAATGGGTCTAGGCTGAGAAGGCTTAGCTTGGTAGGGCTGGGGCTGAGGGGCTTTTGTCTGAGAAGATTTTGCTTGAGAAGACCCAGGTTGAGAGGATTTGGGCTGGAAATGCTTCACCTGGAATGGCTTAGGCTGATGGGATATGAACTGAGAGCTGGGTAAAAATTTGCTCTTAGATGTGGAATGAGATCCTTTTTGGAAAACTGAATCTGAAGGCCTACCCTGAGCCATTAGCTTGTTTCCTTGCTGAGAAGCAGGTCTTACTAGTTTTTGTGTGTTTCCTGTTGGCTGAAAGCACTGAGGTTGAAGATCTTTACTATGGGATGCTGTTCTAATAAACTTTCCAGTTACTTGAGTAATTTTTGTTCCTGGGGCCAGGGCTCGCTTGGGCTGTGGTTTCCCTACTGGTCCTGCTACCTGTGAACCTAGAGAACGTAGGTGACCTACCAGGGAGACCACTGCCCCAAACTTTGCAAGAACTCCCATTCTTTGTGATCTCTCAGGACAGGCCCACACATGCTTAGAACTGGGTCTTGGGGGTCTTCCAAATGTTTGATTCAAGTGATAGTCCCAAGAGGTGCTTGAAAATTTTGTGAATTTTTCACCTGAATAAAATCTCTGGGCTTGGGAATATTGGATACCAAAATCTTTACCTTTTTTATGGGACCTTGAATTCCAAAAGGGCGAAGCACAGAACCATTTAGATCTCTGTTCTGACCCTAAGTGGGAGCCCATAACCCAGGGAGACTCCAAGGAAACCTGGTCAAAGTTACCTCCAATTCTGTTTGGTGAAGGCCAGGCATTTTCTAGATGAGACTTGGATACTGGAGAGTGGTGAAAATTCTGAAAATTTTGGCTGACTTCACCTGCAATGCCAGGATCTCTAGTAGGTCTCAAAGCTTGGCTTTCAGATGAATTTGTCAGTTGACTGAATCTTTGTTGTCCGTCACCTTCAGCTGTTCCAGCCCTGTTTACATTAGGGAAATTCTGAATCCCTTGAGCATTCTCAAAGTCTTGGTCTACCTGAATCCCCAACTCCCTGGCCAGGGAGGCCATATCCTTCACAGACACACATCTGAGTGAAGAGGACATCACTTCCTGGAGGGCAGTGGAAAGGCCTTCCATGTTCTCCCCTCTGTCCCCAACTTCTTTCTCTTCCCAAAACAGTAGCTGTGATGGTTTCAGTTTCAAGGTCCTCTGGAAAATCTGAGCCTCTTCACTCACCCTGGCTTGGGGACTGAATACAAAGTAGCATCTTTGAATGGTACCTTCTCCTAAAAACAACAGCAAGTCCCATTCCTTCTCACCTAAGCAGTCAGCGAAAAGAAAAATAGCTGAGGAAACCTCCACCAAGAGCCCAAACTGTGTCCAAAAGCTTTCTAGGTCTCCACGAAGGTTGGCCACAGCAACAGGCTTTTGGAAAATACCCGGGCTTTTATCACTGTCAGGAAAACACCATGTTATCTCAACTAGGCCATCAGATATTTGCCTAGGAAGCATCGGAACAGACAAATCGTGATGAAGAAAGATTTTGTGTGATTTCAGTCGGTCAGGGCTGAGCAGTGCATTGAGGATTCTGGACTTGGAAAAACTACAGTGCCCTAGACGTACAAAAGAGATGACAGGCATCTTCATGAGACTCAGAAACTCTTCTGAATCCCCCGTGGGCCCTCCTGAGGACTGTGTTGACCGCTTCTTCACAATGTCCTCCATGGCCCTCAGCATTAAGATGCTTTTGTTGTTTTCTGAGTCTGGCAGCAGCAGGGGAAGAGCAAACTGGCATCGATACATGTTTGACATGACTTCTCGTTGCAAAGAGCTGTCTGAACACAGCATGGAGGCACAAAGCACATCAAGGGGATGAATGGTTTGTATGTCTCGAATTTCCAACTTTTCCAGAGCAGTCATCAATTCCTCTTTGCTATCTTCATCCAGAACCCTGTGCCTGAGGATTGAGTCTCTGGCTGTCACATCCAATGCTTGAACTTTCATCAGGAAATTCCAGGCTAAGTCTGCTGGAGTCTCAGGTGTCCACCTACATCTGTGATCCAAGGAGAACTGTTTAACCAAATCTGGCAGAAGTTTTCTGCTTCTATCCATATTCAAAGAGGAAAGTACATCTTTAAACACTTTCTTTCTTTCTGTAAAGGAGAAGATACTTAGTGAATGTTATGTTCAGAATCTATGTTTCCTTCACTGACTTTTTAAATTAAATAAGTAACTGACATTTTCACTACAAGAAGATGAAATGATACAAATGAAGGGAAAGTCCCATTTCACTACTCTGCCTATTCTATGTCTCTTCTAAGAGATATGTCAATATGCCCTGTATGCTTGTTTCCCATTCTTTCTCTATGCAAATACACAAGTATGCCTGCATATATAGAAATTATAGCTTTATTTAATGAATGCTACTTTATTTTTACATAAGTAATATCATATTAAACAAATGACTCTTCAACCTCTTTCCGCTTAACGATTTTCCTTGCAAATTCTTCCAAGTCAGCATATGGAGAGATCTCCCTAATTCATTTTAGCCTTTCATGGTACTCCAAGTTTAGATGAGCCATTTCTTAATCAATCATTGCCTAAATGAAACAATGATCCTTTAGTAATTCTTCCTTTTTAATTTTTTTTGGCTAATGTTTGTATTCAACAATTAAAAACCCTTGTTAATTCTTCATTAAACACATGTCTGAAGGATCTCTAGGTTGATACTGATTTCTTTCTTTCATTTATTGCTTGCTGAATTTTAGAGAATCTGAAAATTTTTATTTCTATGAAAGTTTCCTTGGAATTGAGATGCTGTTCTTAATGTCTCCTGATCTCCCATTTCTAAATATATTTTCTAGCTATTTCTTGACAACAGAGATAGTGCTTAGTAGAGAAAGAAGATTGGAGTGTACTTTACTCCTGACAGATGAGATGGTAAACTAGCATAGTTTATTAAATGTCTTTGAAAAGGAACCTAGAAAAATAATAGAAGTGAGAGAAAAAAATGGATTTTATGAATGAACAAAAATAACTAAAAGATATCTTTGGTTAGTCTCAAGGTTGTTTAAGTAGGTATATGTATTGGGGTAAGAAAGTTGAGAGGAATTGATGATAACATAAAGGGCAGGCAGTGAGAAGATAGTTTTCAGGAAAGTTCAGGTTCTGTTCTTGCCTATCCCATACTTTGCCTTAGGTCAACAACCCTCCACATTTTTAGCACAGAAATTGACATTCACATAATCCTGGCCTGATATCTAGAGTTGGCAAAGTTACGATGGTGCTAAATGGAGTAGATAGAAGGAACAAAATATTTGTACACACAAAAAAAGAATACATCTAATTAAGCACATAAATGGATAAAAAGAAGTAAGCGACAATAATTTAAAAAGTAAGCAATAATATCAAGAACCCAGTATCATTTTCATAAATTAAAAATTCATAAAAATAGCCCAACTAAGGCAAAGAGAAATGAACAGATTTCTGTTGCTTCTCATTAGATATTGAATTTTTAATTTGAGTCCAGTCAGGTTAATGGGGAACTGAGACCAAAAAATGAAAATAAAAATCCAGACTCCTAGGATTTTAACTACCCAAAGTCTCTACAACATATTATACACAATGAACAGGTCACCATTCAAAGTTAATAGACATAGGAAGAAATAGGAAAGGTGGCCCATGCTTAATCAATGGAGATTGACCCCAAGAAGACCCAGATATTGGATTCGGCATATAAGAATTTTAAGACAGGGGCTGGAGCTGTGGCTCAATGGTAGAGTTGCCTGGCATGCATGAGGCCCTGTGTTCGATCCTCATGCCACATATAAATAAATAAATAAATAAAATAATCCATTGACAACTAAAAACTATTTTTGAAAAAAAAATGAAGTCTCAAAAATATTGTGCTAAAAATAAAATTATTTAAAAAAAAAAAAAAAGAATTTAGCTGGGATGTGGCTCAGCAGTAGAATGCTCACCTAGCACAGGCGGGACCCGGGTTTGATCCTCAGCACCACATAAAAATAAAGGCATTGTGTAAAAAAAAAAAAAAAAGAATTTGGGGGGCTGGGATTGTGGCTCATATAAAAGTAAATACACGGAATAAAGGTATTGTGTCCAACTACAACTAAAAAAATAAAAATTAAAAAAATAAAGAATTTTGAGCTGGGATTGTGGCTTAGTAGCAGAGCACTTGCCTCACACGTATGAGGCACTGGGTTTGATTCTCAGCACCATATAAAAATAAATAAATATAATAAAGGTATTGTATTCAACTACAACTAAAGGAATTTTTTAAAAAATAATTTTAAGGCAGCTATCTTAACTATTCTCAATAATATAAAATATAATAAGCCCATAAATAAATGATTAAATAGAAAAATCACAGAAAAAAAGTAGAATGTATTAGAAGAAGGAAACTAGAATTAAAAATCACACTATCTGGGTTTTTAAAAAATCACAACAGGGGCTGGAGTTGTGGCTCAGTGGTAGAGTGCTTGCCTAGCACATGTGAGGTACTGGATTCGATCCCCGGACCCACATAAAAAAAAAAAAAAAAACTAAATAAACAAAATAAAGTATTGTGTCCATCTACAACTAAAACTATTTTTTTAAAAATCACTACAAGGATTAACAACCAATTAGAAATGATGGAAGAAAGTCAGTATCTAATCTGAAGAATAAAAAGAAAAAAGTTTGAAGAAAATAACAGAGTCTTAGGAACTTGCAAAACAATACTAACAACTTTAATATACGTGTACTTGAAATCTCAGAAAGAAGAAAGAGGAAGTAAACAGAAAAAAATTTTGAATCAATAATGGCTCAAAAATTTCCAGATTGGTTTAAAAGGGTTTTTTTGTTTGTTTGTTTGTTTACAGATTCAGGAAAATCTATAAATAATGAGGAGACAAAAGCAAATATTACGGGGCTGAGGCTGAGACTCAGCAGTAGCATGCTTGCCTGGCATGTGTGAGGCACTGGGTTCAGTTCTCAGCACTGCACATTTATAAATAAATAAAAAAAGGTCTATCAACAACTAAAAAAAAAAAAAATTACACCAAGAACCATCAGAATAAACTGCTAAAAAAAAAAAGGAAAAAACTCTTGAAAACAACTAGAAATAAAAAGGATACTACACTTTCAGGAGATTGATAAAATGACTGACAACAGCATCAGAAATAACAGAAGCTAAAAGACAGAGAAATGACACCCATAAAGTGCTGATGGCAAAAAATCGCCAATCTGAAATTGTATAATCAAGAAAAGTACGCTTGTGAATAGCAAATAAAGACATTTTTTCAAAAACAAAAACCAAAAGACTTGCTGAGCACAGTGGCGCAAGCCTGTAATCCTGGCTACTCAGGAGGCTGAGACAGGAGGATCACAAGTTTGAGACCAGTCTCAGCAACTTAGCAAGGCCCTAAGCAACTTAGCAAGACACTATCTTAAAATAAAAAATAAAAAGGGCTAGGAATATAGTTCAGTGGTAGAGCCTCTCTGGGTTAAATCCCCAGTACAAAGAGACTTTACCACCAGCATAACTATATTAAAAACAATAATAATAAACAAAAATTTCAGGCTAAAGGAAAGTAACATAAGTTTGATTCTTCCATTAATTGACCCAAACTACAAGCTGAAGTAGAAAAAAGTTGGTATAGCCTATAAACTTGACCTTCCACAGAACATACAAAGCAATGTTTTCAGCTTTCCTGGGACTTGGATTTGACACTGTGATTTTTTTTTTTCCATGAAATGCAACATGATAAAAATGACCCTTCAGCTGGGCGTGATGGGTACATGCCTATAATCCCAGCAGCTTAGGAGGCTGAAGCAGGAGGATCTTGAGTTCACAGCCAGTCTCAGCAGCTTAGCAAGGCACTAAGCAACTCAGTGAGACTCTGTCACTAAACAAAATACAATAGAGCTGGGGATGTGGCTCAGTGGTTAAGTGTCCCTGAGTTCAATCCCTGGTACCAAAAAATAATAATAATAATAATAATGACCCTTCATGAAGTTGGAGATGCTTGAATTTTTTTTCCAGTTCCGAGCTGCATACACAAATCTTACTTAAGTAAGATAAAGGGTAACGAAATATCTCCAGTCAAATAGAGTAGATGGGCAACCACTAGAATTACACTGCAGTCATGCTCATATTATCATTAGGATAATGAAATGGTAGATTGATTGCAATAGTAGCCATAATTAATGACTTTCTGATATCCATAATCTTTGTAATATTACTTTGCAAGAGTTTGCAAGAGGTGGAATCTGTTTTTTTACCACATCTGTGTTATGTATGTGACATGTTTAGCCAACAAAATGTGGCATAAATAAGGGTATTTGGGTTGAATTGCGTACCAAAAAAAAAAAAAAGAAAGAAAAGTGAAAGATACAATAAAGGCAGAGCAGCCAAGAAAGACTAAAGATTTCTAGGAAAACACTCAAAGGTAGGAACAGATTCATCTTCCTAGCCTCCTCCTCCAGAAGGAACCAAGCCTGCCAGCACCTTGATTGTCTAACAAAATATATTTTGTTATTTGTTTCTTAAGCCACTCACTCTGTGATTCTTTGTAGAATCCCCAGCAAACTACTACAAGCCGTGATGAGGAAGAAATTATTCTTTTTCTACCCAAAAGTAAATTATGAGTCCCCAAGACTTGAGTTGATTGTGAGATGGTAGATACCTTTCCATTCTTTACTCAGAATTTGGTAGCCTTTAATTTTGCAGCCAGTATCTTTCCAGATGAAACATTTTTCATATTTTCAATGTTCATTAAGAAACACTTGGAAAAGTCAGGCACAGTGGTGCACACCTATAAGTCCAGAGGACTGCAAGTTCAAAGCCAGTCTCAGCAAATTAGTAAGGCCCTAAGAAACTTAGTGAGACCCTGTCTCAAAATTTAAAAAAAAAATAATTTAAAAAAATGTGAAAAGGACTGGGGAAGTAGCTCAGTGGTAATGTGCCCCTGGGTTAAGTCCCCAGTAGCAAAATAAATAATTAAAAGGAATATTTGGATTCAAGACACTGTGCTGATGTAATTCTCCTCACCAAGATAGCATTATATGATTTAGATTAAGACAAGTAACAATATCTTGACCTTAAATCTTCACCATAATCTCCTCTACTGACTATTTCCACTTTGGTGATTTAAACTATAATCCTAATATCTTCCTGGTCATAAAGACACTAAAATAACTAAAGTGGTTTGATATGAGGAATAGGGGGTTACACCTAAAAGCCATGATTAGCAACTCCTTATATGTATGATAGAAGGTGACTGTGGACATTTTATAAGCTGCCAATCAATATTTACTTTTGCTTATTAGCCCTCTGCATCCAGGGATTCTGCATGTGCAGATTCAACTGACTGTAGATGGAAAATATTTAGAAAAAAAGTTATATATGTACTAAACTTGCATGGACTTTTTTCTTATCATTATTCCCTAAACGATTCAGTATAACAGCTATTTATGTGAAATTTACAGTATATTCATATTACAAACAATCTAGAGATGATTTAAAGCTAATTGGAGCTTAGGGGAGGAAGGGAGAGAGAGAGAAAGGATGGTTAATGGAGTGCAGCTGAATAAGAAAAATAGTTTCTAATGTTCTACAGCACAGTAGGGTAATTATGGTTGACATCAATAAACTGAATATTTCAAAATAGCTAGTAGAGAGGATTTTGATGTTTCCAACATAAAGAAATGCTATATGTGTGAGGCAATAGATATGCAATTACCCCAATTAAATCATTATACACCATTTACATGTATTGAAATCTCATGTTGTACCCCATAGATATGTACATTTACTGTGCACCAATTAAAAATAAAAGTATATTTTAAAAAGTATATATAATAAAAAGTATATATTTAAAAAGTATATATATAATAAAAGTGAAGTATACCAGAGGATGTATAGGTTGTATGCGATTACTATCACTATCATATTACATAAGGGGTTTGAGCATTCACAGATTTTGTATCTATGAATGGTTCTGCAACTTATTGGCTTGGATACTGAAGGACAGCTATACTGTCCACCATTTCCCAGGTCCTTGATGATCCATTATGTCAACACTCAGCTTTGAAGACATGCCAGAATAAAAAGGTACACGGAATTTCTAGTGACATCTGTGCCATGTCATCTCCTTTCCCCATTATATCTTAGCTACCTTATTAATTATTGACAGGTTGTTGCCTGATTAACTATACACATATAGTCTCCATACCTTCCAGATTTTTATCCCCCTCCTCCAATGAAATGCTGGTTTCTGACTCCTCAGGAATGCGTTCATCAGAGAATCCGATGGATTCTGAACACTTGGAGTCTTCTTTACCATGATGCACAATGTGCTCTAGAACATCATAACCTCCCTCTTTCATAGTAGTTTCTGCATCTTCAGTGTACCCAGCAGAACCTGGATATTCCTCTTTTCCTAAGTACAAAGAATCATCTGGCTCCTCATATCTCTGTCCATCCTGTAAATATGTAATGGTTGCTGGAACTTCATATTCAACTCTTTTGACTGAATATGGCGATGTGATTTTTGAAGTGTCATAGTCCTTCTCTTCCTCCCTGAAGGACAAAGCAATTTCCTGCTCACTAGTTTTATTGTCCCTAAAGAACGCAGAGGTTTTCAGATCCAAGTGTTCTTTCTCTTTGGAAAACACTCTGGTCTCAGGATTCTTGTTTTGTTCTTCTGTAGGGGAAAAAGTATTTTCTGAATTCTTACTTCTGGATTGAGGAGATGTGATATCCTTGTGTTTTAAAAGTTCTGAAAAAAAAAACAAAGAGATTTGATTATTTATTTTGTTTTTTCAATTTAATAAAAAGAAATTGTAAAATAAATTGAGTTAAAAAAAAAAAGCTTGATAAATTAAACGAACCAGACTCAGATATCTAAGGTCAAAGGTTTTCTCTGATAGTAAGGCTCAATGACATTCGCCTATAATCCCAGTGGCTTGGGAGGTTGAGGCAGGAGGATCGTGAGTTCAATGTCAGCCTCAGCAACTTATTGAGGCTCTAAATAACCTAGTGAGATCCTCAGCAACTTAGTGAGATTCTGTCCCAAAATTTAAAATTTTTTAAAGGGCTGGGGCCAGGCATTGTGGCACACGCCTGTAATTCCAGCAGTTTAGGAGGCTGAGTCAGGAAGATCACAAGTTCAAAGCCACCCTCAGCAATTCAGCAAGGCAATAAGCGATTCACTGAGACCCTGTCTCTAAATTAAACACAAAAAGGGGCTGGGAATGTGGTTCAGTAGTTAAGGATCCCTGGGTTCAATCTCTGGTACAAAAAAATTTTCTCTAATATGAGGAAAGTTAGTATAAAATAAGGAGAAAAAAGACAAAGAAAAAAGATGTTGAGATTCATGGAAGTAGAAGAGATCAGTGGAGTAGAGGAAAGGGATTGAGAGAGCGGGCAAAGGAATGGAAAAAGGGCAGAAGGGTGGAATGAATCTGACCTAACTTTCCTATGTGCATACATGAATATATCACAGTGAATCTCACTTTTATTTTATCCACTTGGCACTAATATATTTGTAAAAACCTAGACCTATACAGAAAAAAGAAAAAATATAAGTTGGTAAAACAAAGGGAAGACCGGGAGAGAGAAGGGAAGAGAATGGGGAAGTACTTAAGAGTGAATTAGAGCTAATTGTATCCCATGCTTGTATAATTATTTCAAAATGAACCCTAATATTATATATAACTAAAACAAACTAATAAAAAATAAAATAAATAGATAAACTTCAGAAAAAAATAGACTGAGTTCTCAAAGCATAATCTCTCTCTCTCTCAATTTCTTTCTTGATTTTCTTTTTCTTTCTTTCTTTTTTTTTCTTTTTTCTTTTTTTTTTTTTTTTTTTTTTTTTTAATAAGGGGGAGTCTTATTATGTTGCCCAGGCCTTGAACTCCTGAGTTCAAGTGATCCTCCAGTCTCACCTTCCCCAGTATCTGGAGCTACAGACATGCAATTACTCTTGGGAAGGACCTAATGCCTCCTACCTAATTTGTATGGCACAAGTCAATCATCAGAACTTCTTTTTCCCATGGGGAAAAAAAATATCACATTACTTCCTTGCTCAAAAGTTTGAATCTTTCATAGCTACATCACAGGGTAAATGTGTAAAACAGAAAATTTAAATCATCTTCAAAAAACTAAGAATGAAACCACCATTTGACCCAACTATCCCACTCCTTGATATTTATCCTAAAGATTAGAAAAAATCAGTATACTAAAGAAACAAAGCCACTTCAATCTTTATACCAACACAATTCACAACAGCCAAATTATGGATTAACCCAGATGCTTCTCAATAGATGAGAAGCATGTATTAAGAAAATGTGTTATATTGCAGAATGGAATTTTAGTCATAAATAAGAATGAAATAATGGCATTTTCCAGTAAATAGATAGAAATGGAGAAAATCATACCAAGTGAAATAAGCAGGACTCAGAAAGTCAAGGGTTGAATATTTTCTCTCATATGTGGAAGTAGAGCAAAATAAGGGAAAGAAGGCAGTTGGGAGAGGATCTGAAGTCATAAAGATACAGGGAAGAGCAGTGGAGTAGTAGAAGGAGAATGAGAGGGAAGGAGGAAGGACGGAAAATAGGAAGAAAAATGAATTTTTTAAAAATCATGCTATATTCATATATAAAGGCACCAAAGGGAATTTACCTTATGTTTATGGACAGTATCAATTGAAAAAAAGTAAATAGCTGGATTATAGTGGCGCACAACTGTTATCCCAGTGGCTTGAGAGGCTGAGATAGGAGGATCATGAGTTCAAAGCCAGCCTCAGCAACTTAGCAAGACACTTAGAAACTCAGTGAGACCCTGTCTCTAAATAAAATATGGAAAAGAGCTGGGGATCTGTCTCAGTGGTTGAATGTCCCTGAGTTCAATCCTCGGTACCAAAATAAATAAATGAATAAATAAATAACTGAAAAGAAGATTAGTGAAGTATAGGAGGGAAAACAGGGGAGAGTAGAGGGGAAGAAAATGAGGGAAAGGGGTGGAATCAAATGGCTTGCATGTATGATTTTGCCAAAATAAACCCCAATGCTATGTATAATTATATTTTTCTAATGGAAAAGAAAAGAAAAATTGAATCATGAGCAATATTCACTTGTGGAACTAATGTGACTCACAACTCATATTTCCTTAAGTTATTACAAAATAAATCTAATCTCTATAATTCTTAATCTGTAAGCAAACAGATGTAATTTCAAATAGTGTGTCCTGGAAACAATAAGATCTATCTTTCTAAGCATATGTGTCTTGTCTTACCTGAGGGTTATTAATATTCACTTTTTTTTTTAGTCCCTACCTCTCTATATGCTTCATTTTTGTTTGTCTTTCTCCCAGAGGTAATCTTCTCTGAAATATGAGATAGGGAAAAAGTGTGCAGAATTTAAAAAGCAGAGAATAATGTATCTGATTGATTTAGAGGTTGGATATTTTGTTGTTCTTTGAATTTTGTTCAAATTCAAACTTTGCTGTTCAAAAATTCCAGTTGTTTTATAAAGTGCTCATTGTTAATAGTAATAATCCTGAATATTTTTGATTCCTTAAAAAAGGACCTACACCTGCCTCTACTGGTAATTTCCAGAATCGCTAAACAATACCTTCTAGAGTAAATGTTCCCTCATCTGAGACTAGTTATTTTTGAACCACTTAAGACTTAGCATTTGAGTTTATTTTAAAATAGCTAGGAGAGAAGATTTGAAACGATGTGTGTTTGCAGTAATGAATATTCCAATAATCCTGATTTGATCATTATACATTGAATATATAAATTAAAATATCACATTGAATCATATAAATACATACAGCTAGTATATGTCAGTTAAAATGATATATTTATTAGATAAATAATTATTTTTAAAAGAACTAGCATTTAAGTTGCTCCAGAAAACTAGGGTTCTGCTTCATTCTTATCACAGAGTAAATTAATTATGGATCTGCCATCTAGGTATGCTAAAAATTATGCTTCCTATATTTTCAGAATGGCTATCCTAAGTGAAAGATGTTGTTTGAGGTCTTAGAACTGTTAACATCTATGAATTCATTTATTTGAGAAAGAAACCCCAGATTGTGCTATGATTAACAGTATTCTCTTTCCAACCGAGGAACTTCAGGATGTAATGCCAGAACAATGAGTACTTTATAAAACAACTGAAATTTTTGAACAACAAAGTTTGAACCTGAACAAAATTCAAAGAACAACAAATTACCCATCCTCTAAATCAATCAGATACATTGTTCTCTGCTTTTTAAATTCTGCACACTTTTTCCCTATCTCATATTTCAGAGAAGATTACCTCTGGGAGAAAGACAAACAAAAATAAAGGGTGCTAGTTTTTGTTTTTTCAGAAAATCTGCCCCATTACATTTACCCCTTACTCCCAACCCCCATCAAAGTATAAAAATTCAACTCACCAAGCTGTAAGTCCCAAGTAGTAGCTGACTCTGGAAAAGTACTAAGTAAACACTTGAGAAAATACTGACAGCACATCTCTCCCTTTTTCTGTACCAAAATTAACAGCTTTCGACTTTTCTTCAAGGGATCTGTAACTTTATCTAAAGTCTCATACTCTTCTTCAGAAATCAGCTGTCGAGAGGTTAACGTATCCAGGATAGAATCTGGATCTTCTTGGAGGATATTAAGCAATTTTTTTCGTTGTCTTTCTATGATCTCTGAGGGAACGCTCTCAGCAGCCATAGTTTCTGGTTCCTAGAGCAGGAAATGGACAATGATGTCATTTTGAGGATAAACAGATAAGAGGAAAAGACAGAGCAATTCTATTATAAAATATGCAAAGGACACCTAGTGTTGCAGGAAGCATATATAAACAAGCACTAAGGAGGAGTGCAACCCTGAGAATTCTCTGAACTTGGCTCCCTGTGGATTATTTGTTCCCTCCACCCCCCCCATTTTATGGTACTGGGAATAGAAACTAGGGACTCCTAAACTGGGCTTGGTGGCCCGTATCTGTAATCCCAACTACTATGGAGGCTGAGACAGGACGATCTAAAAGTTTGAGGCCAGTCTAGGCATTATAGTGAGACCCTGTTTCAAAATTAAAACTTTAGGAAAAATTAAGAACGATTGGTGATATAATGCAGTGGTAGAGCATCCTGAATTCAATTCCCAGTACTGCAAAGCAAACAAACCAGAAACTTCTAGCGCTCTACCACTAAGTCACATTCCCAGCCCTATCTGTTGTTTTAGTGGCTTGAAAGTCTCATGAAGACTCAGTCTGGAGTTTAGCTATTCCAAGAAACCTCTCCTGAACTTCAGGATGAACTAGGTGTTCCCTACTCTAAACCCTATACTGTGATGATAAGAATGCCAATTAATTAATTAGTTTTTGGAGAGCAATCTGGCAATAGCAGCACTAGGTAAATGATGAAAATAAAAATGTATATCCTTTAGTCTAGCAATTCCACTTTAGGAAATTCTCTTAAGAAAATGATCAGACCAATGCTTAAGGATGTATGTACAAGAATTTGCATTACAACATTGTTTATCGTAACACAAAATTGAAAATAACCTAAATTTCTTATTGGAGATGTGGGGAATGAATGTTTTTTTGATATGTCAGAAGTAAAACATCCTAGAAACTATTTAAAAGGATGAAGATTTATATATATTGAAAGTAATGATATCCATAATATATTTGTTGTGAGCTAGCTATGTCATTAACATGGATCACACATTTATGTCTTTTCACATTGCCAGAATTTATTGAATAACACAAATTGACAAACAATATCACTTTCATTGGATGCAATTCACTGAGTACTTCTTGTGTCACCTAGTAGTCATAAGCTGGGCAATAACAGCTTTATTCTTTTATTCCAATCTGAATTACTACTATCTGTAATACTCAAGTCCCATGTCACATTTTACATCATGATATGTAAAGGTTACAGAAAGATCGAGAAAGGGTAAAGGTGGGTAGAGGAGGATGTGACATATAAACATTTTGACATATCAATATTCATTCCCCATATCTCCAATAAGAAATTTAGGTTATTTTCAATTTTGTGTTATGATAAACAATATTGTAATGCAGATTCTTGTACATACATCCTTAAGCATAAGGGTCACTGCAGGTAGTTGGAGAAGATTACAAACCAGTCAAAGAACTTGTTCAGGGCATCCAAGGCACAGAGCTGTCAGAGCAAGGAACTTATTCTAGGCTAGAGTCTAGAGGGAAAGCACTTTTGAAGTTGACCACATCAAGCAGGGAGATCAAGCTAAACCCAGGGACAGAGAGTTGGAAATTTGTCTCCTGTCCACCTCATGATGCTTTTACCACATGGTCTGTTGATGGGTTGGTGCTCCTCCTTTTGTGGGTCCCAAGTGAAGGAGTTTCTCCATTAGGTGGTCTGGTGTGTTTGATAAACTCATGTGCCTGGTTTTTCTGATGTGGGCTCAATATATCTATGAATCAGTATGCTACCGATTTAATTCAGTAAGTTCTCAGGTGTTCATTATTTATTAGGAAGATTATTTATTTATCAGGTTGTGCTAGGAAGCTGGTGATTATTTACTTAAACAAACAAAATGTAGAATCATTCTACCTCAGCACTTATACTTAAAATGAAATAACACATAGCAAACTCCAGCTTTATAAAAGTGGAGTTAACTCGGGCTGGGGTTGTGGCTTAGAGGTAGAGTGCTGGCCTAGCATGTGTGAGGCACTGGGTTCGATCTTCAGCACCACATAAAAATAAAATAAAGATATTATGTCCACCTATAACTAAAATATTTTTTTTAATGGAGTTAACTCAGAGTAAGACACAGCCTGAAAACTATTGTTCTATTCATCATAGAGTAACTCAGAGCAGGACTCAAGTCTACTCTCCACAGTATTGTTATTGAAAACAGCACATTGTAGATCCCATTTTGGGGTTTTGTTATATTTGTTGTTTTCTTTGCAGTGGTGGGGATTGAACCCAGAGACTTAATGCATACTAGGCAAGTATTCTACCACTAAGCTATATCTCCAGCCCCCTTTTTTGTTTTAAAAATACCCATGCATATATAGGTCATATTGATAAATGTCTATGAAAAGTGACAAGAAACTACTCTCAAGCAACTGGAGACAATGAAGCTCAAATAACCCTATGAGGAGAGTATACCCTAAGGGACATCAATTACCCAAAAACTAAGCAAGGCTATCACTTCAAGTGGAAGCAGACATCTCATAATGGAAACCAAATCACAGATCACCCCCTCAAGTGATGACCTCTTTCCCAGAACTTCAAAGAACAGTCCTGAGACAATGATCAGCCAAACCATGGCCTGACCACAGGCATGCAAGCCCCCAATCCTTGCTGTTGAACAATATCTTCCCATTCCTTCCCCTTCCCTGTTTCCAGACTCTGGGCACTACCATTCTATTCTTATTAAGAGTTTTAAAACATGTGTCTCAAAAGTATGGTTTCAAGAGATTCATTCCACTTCATGACCCCAAACTAGATTCATAATGTCATCAAGTTCACCAATTCTTCTTGTTCAATTTGATCAGTAACAGGCCTCCCAAACACCATCTCTTCTTAACTGCTCCACTCTCCTCCTCTTTCCAGGAGAGACTGTCAGCTCCAGGAGATTTCAAATCTGCTGGGAATTTAATTACTTTCAAACAGGATATTTACATAGCATGGGCTTGGAATGCAAATGAAATGAGCTGGGGGAAGGGTGAGTGTGACTCTGATGTTCTCTATTATATAAAATATAGTCCAGAGCTTCAGAGTTGAAAGTATAGCCTTCAAATAAAAATAAATGGCACAAGGGGACGGCGAGATAGCTCAGTTGTTAGAGTGTCTGCCTGGCATGCATAAGGCCCTGGATTTAATTACTCGCAACACACACACACATGAAGTTAAAAAATGATATAGACATGAAATTTTTAAATTTATAGCAGTAATTCTGCTTATTATACAAAATCAATAGGTCTAAAATGCAACAAGTTCTAATGATTAAAAGACTTGAGTATATGGGAACCATGGATACAAGATTTAAGATTTACATATTCTCTTATCACTGTGCAAAGGCACATTTTAGAGGATAAATGCCTAAACTAACACCTTACACAACCCATTTCAGAAATTGAGCTAAGCCAGGCTTGGTGGTATGCATCTGCAATCCCAGCTACTTGGAAGGCCACGATAAAGGTAATAGTTGAGACTGGGAGTTCAAGACCAGCCTTAGCAATATAAAAGACCCTGTCTTTAAAAATAATAATAATAGAAAGAAAAAGATAACTTATTCCTAATCTTAACCTGGTAATTGAATAAGAACTTGGAAGTTCTAAAGGAACTTCATAGGTCTCTCAGCAGCTAGGACAAAACTGATGTGGCTTCAAGAACACCAAAACCACCACCTCTCATTAGAAAAAAAGGAAATATATTTCATTTTCTCCAGTGTTTTCAGTTCTTGGAATGTCTGAGGTACAGAGACTCACATAGTGCCTGTCATACTACTTGGCTCTTTAGCAGCTGACACCTGTCCTACCTTTTCTACACTGATGTTTTTTCTGAGCTTTCCTAATCCCTACAACCTGTAAACATTAGGTTACAGGACCAATGACAATTAGGGTTGAAGATACAATTAAGGTTGCTCATTAGCTGACCTTACGATGAAGAAATTATGTGGGTGGGATCAACATAATTACAAGGGGCTTTAAAAGTAGAAGAGGAAGGAAGAGGGTAATGCATCTTGAAAAAGATTATTATTGGCCTTGAAGATGGAAGGGAGCAATAATAAACCAAGGAGTTTGGGCAGCCTGGGGAATCTGATAAAGGCAAAACAACAGATTCGCTCCTACTGCCTCCAGAAAGGCAGACAGTCCTGCCAACATTCTAATTTTGCCATTTGTTGTTTTTGTTTCAGTGCTAGAGATTGAGCCCGGACCCTTGCACTTACTAGGCAGGCTACACTCCCAGCCCTACATGTTAATTTTAGCCCAGTGGGGCTTTCAACCAGTAAAACTTTATAAATGTGTGTTTTTAAAAATTGTGATAACATGATATATACTCTCAACAGATTTTAAGTGTCTAATACAGTATTAACTTTAGATACAATATTTTAATTCAGACCTCTAGAATTTATTCATTCCCCATAACTGAAACTTTATACCTGTTGAGTAACTCTGGGTTGCTTTAAGCCATTACGTTTGTGTTAACTTGTGGCAACAGCAAATACAAAACAAAACCTAATACAGCACCTAATTTAGAAATTCAGCATCTAATTCTCTGGATTTTGTTTGCTTTCTTTTTCACCTGGCTGCACCACTTCCTTTCTCCCCCACTTTCACTCTACCACTTCCAGTTTTATCCCGTGCTGGAGTCTGGTATTTATTAGGCACTAATCAATTGTTTACCTGTGAAAATGGAACCTCTGACTCCTAATGTCTTATTCTGCTAGCAGTCCATGTGCTAAAATTTTGCACGTGACAGGCCAGGAATTCTTGAGGTTGCTTTAGAAAGTAAACTTATTATTTGGAACCTGTTATCCCCACTAACTTTTTCCCCTTATTTCTTATTGGTGCATCACAGCTGTACACAATGGTGGGATTTGTTGTTACATATTCATACATGCATACAATATAATTTTGCCCATAACATTCCTGAGTATTTCCCCTTTCCCTTCTCTCCTCCATCCCCCTTCCATTAATTCTTACATATCTGGTAATCTTCTTGTATTGTTTTTGCTTCTTTGTATTTGTTTTTAGACAAGAGGTTACAAATGCAATAGCATTATTGGAATTGGTCATGGGACTATCAATTTCAAAACTAAATAGAATTTTATTTTTTTAAGTACAGGCTCTAGGGGCTGGGGCTCAGCAGTAGAGCGCTCGCCTAGCATGCGCGAGGCACTGGGTTCGATCCTCAGCACCATATAAAAATAAATATATAAAATAAAGGTATTAAAAAAAGACTGATTTTTTTTTTTAAGTATAGGCTCTACCCAAACGTGCTGCAACAGGACAGGTTGACAGTAGGGTGCTGAAACCGTATTTAACAAGTTCCACGTTAAGACTCTTCGGCATAATGAAATTTGGGATCGAATCATTTGCCTCTAAATAGCTACTGTTCAACAACCACTTTCCTTTTGGATGCTAAGCTCCAGTCCCTTCAAGGCCAGTTCCTGCTGGTGCGCTCTCAGCGACCTCTCACAGCAAGAGCCAGCATCACCCAAGAGCCTCCAGCCAGGAAAGCGGAGGAATCGGTGAAACTGGTCTCTCCCGGATCAAGATCTCAGTCCCAACCCGTCACTACACGCGCGCCGGCAGCGCTGAGTCGGTGCAGGTGCCCCGGGCCGGCCGGCCCACTCGGCAGATTCTCCGATCTACAACCGGAACCCACAGTGTGGCACCGGATCTGATAAGGACACGAAGCCGACAGCAGCTAAAAATCCAAGGCTTTCACTACAAACAGTCCCCAGCTCGGAGGCGGGTCCAACGGAGACACGCCCATCCCATGCGAGTTAGCAGAGAGCCTCGCCCGTCTTACGGGCGCGGAAACCTGATTGGCTCTGCCTGCTTCTGTGCATCCTCTTGACCCCACCCACAGTGCGCCAACTGCGGCGACGGAAGCTTGAAAGCAGTGCACTGCGTCCCGCAGGAAGTAGTTGCTTGGACGGAAGCTTCTGAGGGCCATCTAGCGGAAGTGCCTTCTCTTCCGGTCTCTTTGGATTCGGCGGCCGACGTGAGATGGTGAGTTTGTAATGCTCTCCGAATCGTTTTCCATCCTCGTGCTCTCTGCTGCACTAACTTTGTATTTGTGGGGGATCGGTAAGGCTCTGAGTAAGGGGAGCTTGTGAGCATGAAAGAGGCATATGATGGCTGACAAGAACCAGAAGAAGGGCTTTTGACAGAGGGACTGACACCGCAGTTGTGGAGCTGGCGCTGCTCTATGTCTTTCCCTTCTCTTAGGCCTTTGGGGGAATTCACATAACTTTGCTGTTGGGTAGGAGCTAACGGAATAAGTTTTGGAGCAGAGCAATTTGTGGTGGTGGTACCTAGCAGGAGTTCTCAGGCTTTGGTCTGTTAAGTTTTTTTTTTTTTTTAATAAGAACTAAGGTTGATTTCCTCTTTGCAGAGGAAGTCTTTATGTATAGTGAATTGCCGGCATGGTCTCTGGCTTGGGAACTTGATGAAGAATTTTTAAACTTATCAATAGTTGGTTTCCGGGCTGGGGTTGTGGATCAGTGGTAGAGCGCTTGCCTGCCAGGTGTGAGGCACTAAGTTCGATTCTCAGCACCACATATAAATAAATGAATAAAATAAATGTCTATCAACAACTAAAAAATATATATATTTTTTTTTTTAAGAAAGTTAAAGTTTCCTAGAAAACGTCGTAATGCATATAGAAATTGTCAGATTTCGAATTTGTTTATCCTTATCTCCAGACGAAGGGAACGTCATCCTTCGGGAAGCGTCGTAATAAGACGCACACATTGTGCCGCCGCTGTGGCTCTAAGGCCTACCACCTTCAGAAGTCGACCTGTGGCAAATGTGGCTATCCTGCCAAGCGCAAGAGAAAGTGTAAGTAAATGTTATTCAAGCTGTTTTGTTTTGCACTGCATCCAAGTAAGAGTGTAGCTTTAAGCGTTTATTTGGTGCACAATACAGAACTGTTGAATTCTGTATGTTGTTGAAATGGCATGAAACTCAAAAGTACTCTTAAAATGGTCGACAGTCAGGGAAAAAACAATTTGCCGTTTTCTGTTTTAGATAACTGGAGTGCCAAGGCTAAAAGACGAAATACCACCGGGACTGGTAGAATGAGGCACCTAAAAATTGTATACCGCAGATTCAGGTACAGTTTTACCATTTCAATATAATTGGTACTGAGAGCTTGAATAAGAACCAACACGGTTGCTTGTGTAAGATTATTCTACCCTGGTATAAATAAGAATAAGATATTGGGAGCTTTTTCCCCCTTTTTTTGCTATTCACTTGACATCAGTTAATCTAAATAGTGTTAATCCTGCAGTAAAAAATGTGGAGCGTTTTTCTAAGCTAGACTGCCTGAAACGATGCTATTTATAAAGCATACCAAGGTTTTGGATAATTGGAATCAGAGTTTGTCCTGACAATACTGAAGGTGTAGGGTCAGGCTTACTTGATTCAAACTTCATGTTTGTGGTGTTGGCCAGTTTGTTATATAGAAAGATGCCTTGAGTCTTGTAATCAAAGTCTGGGCCTTAGAATTTCTTTAAAATGCCGATTACAGGCCCACCTGAGACTTAGCTGAGAATCTGGATTTTATAACAATAACTTGTAAGACCAATTAAAGGATTTAACTGATATCCAAAGTGTTGTAGGCTTCACATGAACACCTCCTCTTACTATGCCCTGTTTCAGCAAATCTGTTGATGTTAGGGATGGAAAAGTCTTTGTTATGGGAGTTACTCTGTATAAAATGTATTTTGTAGAATACCCGGCCTCTATTCACTTAATACTCCGGTCTCAAAAGGTCACAAGGTGATTTTAATTTTTAGGTTTCATAAGCATCTTTAGTTATATTCGTGAAACCTTTTTGAATTTTTTTGCACTTGAAGTCATACAATTATGTGGACTTGATACTGAGCAGTTTGCTAGTATAAGAGCTAGGACCATGAATTGAAGACAGATTTTTAAGCTTGCTTGCTAAAGGGGCATTTGTAGTTATGTTTGCTTGGTTAGGTGTGAATGTGTATCAAGTTGGAATAGAAAGCTGTTTTATGAAACTTCTGCTGTTCAACCTGCTCATTATTTTTCTTTGACTAAGGGAAAGTTAAGATGTATTCCTAGACATAAGGAACCATTTTTTACAAATAACTTTGGATCCCTTATTAAAATTAAAGTCAACTATAATCTAAAGTGGATACCTTAAGCAGAATGAAATAAAACAAGCTTATCGGTGATGTTGTACAAATAAATGTCTGAACATATGAATGCAATAATGATTTCAGCATTTAACTGAGATAAGCTCATTAAAATTTGTTTAGCAAAAATTAGAAGGTATTTATTGAATTGTTGAAGTAACTGTTCTTGTCTTTAACATGGTGCAGGCATGGATTCCGTGAAGGAACAACTCCTAAACCCAAGAGGGCAGCTGTTGCAGCCTCCAGTTCATCTTGAGAGTTCCAACAATTAGCCACCCAATAAATGTACTGGTTTTTAAAAATGTGTCTGGTGTGCTAAAAATGTATCTGGTTTCTAAGAACTGGGTTTGTAGGATTTGAAGAATTACCTAGGCTTGGGGAATGGGGTGAAATTATCAGATTTAAATGTTAAGAAAGTTTTGGCACTCTAAATTGTGTTTATTAACATATAATTTGGTAGACTTGGGGCATGGTTGACAGTCATAGAAGCCTTAGAGTGCCAGTGAGAAGGGTAAGGTTGATGAATTCTGTTTGGGGGAAGGTAATTATACTCATCTAGCAACTGTAAAGATTGCTTGGCGCCTAGGATGTAGCCCATGTAGGAACTGAGTGAAAAGTTAATTCAATTTGCTGGGTGTGAGATAACTTGGAAAGAATGTTATAGGATTAATAGCATCTGTAAGGCTTTTATGCAAATGGATTAAGAGGTAATCCCTGGGATTTGAGGCCTTGTGATGTGCGACTACCTGGTAGATGTTGGTCCCACACCCCCTTGTGTAGTTCTTGAGATGATGTGCATGGGTTGTATAAAAACATTCTACTTTATATATGGGACTTTGGTGCCCATTGGGACTTCTAGTACCAACCCTCACAGATGAGAGACAACTGTACTAAGTCCTGCCTTTGTTTGCTTCCTAATTTATCCCTTGGAACTCAGATTTTTGGGTGCGGGGGAGTGCTAGGGATTGAGCCCAGGGCCATGTGCATGTGAGGCAAGCACTGTACCAACTGAGCTTTGTCCCCAGCCCTGGAACTTGCTTTTTAACACTGACTTGTACGGAGCCTTTGCTCGACTAAAATCACTGTTGGGCTTTCTCCCAGTGTATGATATATCAAAACAGCAATTTTTACTACATTTTGGTTTGATAGAACTAAATTCAATCTTAAGATCTTTATAGTCAGCCTTTCAGTGTTACTAATCATTGGTTTCTGAGTGATGAATAGGCCCATTAAAATAGTTTTAAAAGTTCAATGTGGAATTTGACGGTGAAGCAAAAGAAAGGTGAGTTTACCTCGTTTGTGGTGAGTGGGTATTTGCACAGTAGGTAGATTTCCATCAGAAATTACTCTGGTAATTCCTAAATGTCCCAGGAAGCTCAAAAAGTGAAACTGTTGTAATTACAGACCAAAGAAGAAGCAATGGGAAAGAGATTGAATTCTAGTTTATGGAATTTTCATGTCCTGAGTATCATAGCTAAGGTTTGCATTGGATACATCCACCAAAAAGTGTCAGGCAATCTGCATGTTATATTTGAACCAGGAGCCAGTATACCTAACCAATGTTATTAGCTCCCGAGTTTTAATATTGAGCAGCAATGAATTTACATTTCTTGGGCAGAGGGCTCCTGGAACCCAGATGGGTGTCAAGTGGTAATTGAAATGCGACCTCAGGAACAGTGTCTCCTTAAGTGCTTGGCCCTTTCCATCCTTGTTACTGTGTACATAATGTGTGAATTTCATGCATTTCATTTGTTTGGTAAGAATTGGATATTACTAAATAACATCATTTTAGGCCTTGGAATATTTATTTAATAGAACATTTGGGAAATGCCTCTATTACATCAATCTTTCAAATAAATACAAATGCCAAGGAGATAGAATGAGTGATAGCCTACATAGATTGCAAGTTGGCAATTAAAGCCAGTGAAGTTTGGCACGTAAGGGTTTCAGAAAAAGCCAAGTGTTAAGAACCCTGACTCGCAGGTATAGTAAGTACAGTCCAGCTTGCCTCTTTATATTCTTTCTGTGCACTTAAAATTTGAACAACCCTGTGTACTTGTGATATTCAGTTTGAAAATATTGTAGATGTAGATCCAGATTATAGTTTCTTGTCCTTATTTCTGTTATTTCTAGTCTTATTTCTGTTATTTCTAGTATAGTACCAAGACTCTTGCACTTAATAATAAGGTTTGTTATTTCCAGGAAGCAGGGAGGGAGGAGTTGAATGACTTTGCATATTGGAACTCTTGGAGAAGTAGCCAGTCAGCAGGCTATGTGGTTGT